TCACTGCACACACACACACATTTTTGTGGATTGAACAGCACAGGGATCGAAATACCATGTTCATGAAAATCAGCAGCCTACACCTTCTCGATCTGAAAACGGCCTTCGACTCGGTCGACCGTTATGAAACTCTGGCGTTGTCATCACACTGCACCTTGACGTGGTGTGATGGTTTGTGCGCCTCTTTTGGCTTTTAGTCCTCTCACTTTGGTGTGAGAAAACACCTCGGCCACATTTAGGCAGCGAGTATGGCTTTTTCGACAGAGGCCGTTTGAGACGTTTGGTCGTACATAAAAGCATTTCGTGATGTGAAAGGGTAACCAGCCACAAACCAAGGCTAGAGAATCGCATTTTAACCCCAAATCACTATATCAGTTTCTACTGATGCCTTCTCTTTCTCATCGCTGCCACATTCCCATAAAACATACTCTAGGCTCCGGTCTCGTCACAGAAGATTCATTCATCTACCCAATACATTGACGATGTGAGCTATCACGAATTGTAGTTTTGTCGTTGTGTTCTGCCTTGTGGTAGTCGTGCGTTTTCTCGAAACCCATAGTAATGTTTTTTGTGAAACCGCCATTGTGTTCTGGTAATTTTTCCCTTCTTTATTTGCTATTAGCACATAAAGTGATTTTATTGTTAAAATGGTCCGGCAAACTAGACATTGACTGTCATTGGATTACAGTTTCCGTACCACCCAGCTACCTTGCTGGCCTTGACTAATACAAGTTTGTGTGTGTGTGTGTGTGTGTGTGTGTGTGTGTGTGTGTGTGTGTGTGAAGGAGTTGCTTTATTGTCTCTGCTCTACCGTTATTACTTTGGTTTTTGTTCTTCGGAACTTTCCTCGGCGGTTCCTCTTCCTGCAACTTTTACCCGGTCATCCCGGACACAGACATCTAGTCATTCTTATCAGATTTCCGATCCCAGATGTCCTATTTCTCTGCTCTAATCTTCTTTTTTTCCTGAACTGCCAAGTTGTAGAACACCCTCTCACATTCTGTCTTTCCCTCAACTTACAACCTTACACTCTTTGAACGCAGAATCAATAAACTGAATCTTATGTGAATGTTTCCTTACTCTCCCTTTTACGGTATGCTATTTGTCTATGGGGATTTCTCCCTTTACTCTAATTCACATTGTGTAATATATAATAATAATAACAATAGTAAGATTAATACAAGTCTATAGTATTTAGTTGTTGATTTCCGTTCACTGTGGTGTTCTTTGAAACTATTTGATTAATCGTGCTCCCACCTGTGATTACGAAAAAATAGAGCCAAGTTTCCACTTTGCTTTTCGTTGTCAAACATTGCAAGTTCTCCTCGAACGGAATGACCAATCACGGAGATCGAAGTGACTAAATCACAAATTGGTCGCCAGGATTGCTGTCGTCCATGTCATCTTAAATAAAACCGGCCATTTCTGTGTCGCAAACAGGAACGGACAGACATGCCGAACGAATTTTTGTGTCCCGATTTGAGTGGAAAACTCAATGAATCAGGGTGATTTGAACAGACCCCAGTACTAGTTCACCCCGAATCTAGAATAGATTTACTTGGAGAAAACCAACAGAAGATAAAAGATCTTAGTGGACAAAACGATGCAGCCAATCGTCCCGAGAGAGAAATGCCAGTTTTGCCTACGAAAGTACGGGATGGACCAGCTGGATTTCTCACTTCACTGTTTAATATAAGCGAATAAGCTCGTTTTCAGTGATTCATAGTCATGCCAAATACATCACAATAACACATCACGCTGTTTATCTATGTAGCACTATTCAAACACGAAAAAAGACAAAATGCCGGATTTTGTCGTCTCATTTTGTGTGAACTGATCTACATGTTCTTGTGGAAGAACGGACATAGACCGCATGGTCAAGCGTTTGTCCGAACGAATCCGAGAACACCACCCCGCATGGCTAAAGACAGAAGCAATCAGGTCACCCACTAATGCAGTGGTTTCACACCGAGTTGAAACAAATCAAAATGTGAATGTGACCGAGGCATTCCGTCCCCTGTATCGGGTTGGTGGTCGACTATCAAGGCAGGTT